AATTTAGCGTCCGCCATGTTGGTGGAGTACAATGCGTCACGTGCGAGGAGTGTTGCTGTTGGTTTGTCTGAGTGACTGTGTGTTTGCCTGTCAGCACGATACGAAAATTTGTCTGATGGAGGCAATGGACATTGCCCAACCCAAGGGCATATTGATCATTTACATCAGGGCTGCAAATAAATATTTGACTTGACAGGACATTTGTCCGATCACTTTTAATTTTGGTCGGACATAACTTGAATTTGGTCGGACAAAAACCAACATCACTAAATTTGGTCGGACATATATACGTCACAAGATATATATATATAAGTCACGAGACAAGTATGTATGCCATTCCGGCGCAACGTTAAGTGAAATTAAATGCTAGAACGCCTCGTAAATTTTATTGCAAAATGCAAATTGAGTGAATTTGCAATCGGATTTTGTCACAGCAAAAAATGTATAATGTGACAATTTTTTTTGTGATCGGACCAACTATGTCCGATCAAAATTACTTTTTTGCTCGGACATTTGCCAAATTTAGTCGGACATTGTCCGATGTCCGACAGTAATTTGCAGCCCTGTACATGTAACTCCACGAATTAACTCAGTGTTGAGCTGCTATGTATCTAACTGTTTTTACGCTCGGAAGGTTCTGAGTTGTCCTAGTCTTGGCCTGCAATCCTGACAGACCTGACCTTTAGGACGTCGACGGCCTCCTATCTCTCCTTATACTTCCCATTGCACTGTCCTGCTGGGACTGTGGGCAATAGATGCTAATTCCTGCACGGACATGTGCCGATTATTTACCGGTTGCTACTCGACTTACAGGCGACAGCTGTTTGAGGTATGTGTTCTTCATTTGCTTTTACATTTTTCATTACCGGAATATCATCAAGAGTGATTAGAAAAGGTTATCATAAGGTTATCATAAGGTTAAGTAAATCAGTATAGTAGATGAATAAAGCATTCAGTTCTCGAGCGCATTTGAAATTTAATAGTGTTTTCCATGTGAGACAATTGCCCGCGACCAGCCCCTGCAACTTTTCGCCTCCTGTCACAGAACCTTCAAAAATTGCGCAACACTCAACTAGCTGAAAACTAGACGTATAAAGTGTGTGTCTATTTCGCATGTCCGATAATCGGTCAGATTCCTGCGCTAATAATATACATGAAAAATTCACAATTCTGATTGGCTAAGCTAGATCAGTGCAATTTCTTTCGAAAACAATGCCAAAATATGAAATACAGTGCAAATCGCATTGACTATATAAGATACAGCCATTTCTAGCAGAATAAGCAGAAATAAAAAAACCCAAACATTTACAAGTGCCGACAAAAATGGCTGGTATTTTTAGTAGATTATGCAGTGATTTATATTAAATAATTTTATGACTGCATAACTTTTCATGTATATTATTAATAGGTAATAGTATGGTTTCTCGTGCAATTTGGAAAAACATATGCGTGTGAGTTTTTCAAAAACCGTCTTGACTGAAAAACTCACTCACGCATGTTTTCCCCAAATTGCACTCGAAACCATCAGTATTACCTGTACAAATGAAGCTCTAGATCACAGAATAAGGTACACAGAAGGTCGACTCGAGTAACGCTGCCACGCCATGATTCATCATCAAAATGCTGACGCCATGGTCCTAGCCAGTGCGGGTTTGAGAGGCATTCCCCCCCTGGACATCCGCCATTTTTAATAATATCAGGGGGGCGAATGCCTCTCAAACGCGCACTGGCTAGGACCATGGCGTCAGCATTTGATGACGAATTACGGGTTACGCCAAAATCATAGCAAAATCATAGGAAAAACAAAGAAGTCGGCCTTCTGTGTACCTTCTTCTGTGTCTAGATCTTCGAAGCCAAACATCGCTGGAAAATAGCTAGTGTTGTCTATTAAATGTTAAAAAATTGAATATGCGTCAATCAAATGTTACCAAAATTAATTGAAAATTGAAACGTCAGTATAAGCGCACCTCAGTTAAGCCTTATGCCCTGTAATCAGTGCAGTGCGCACCATGCCTAGGCGAGTTTCGCTTTTCATCAAACCTCGTAATGTTATCTAAAAATATAAAATTCGTTACCAGGCCAAAACAGCCAGGGGCGGCGCTAACCCTCTTCGAGTGGGGGTGTGTGAGTGATCTTTTGCCGACTGTTGTTTGATAATTTTGCCGAGTCATTAGCCTATAGTGTGGGTCCTGAAGGGGGGGGGGGGTTCCCAATCCCATTTTCCACCTGAAATTTTGGCAAAATCCCAGTCCCAGTTGGATTTTTATTAGAAATCCCAGTCCGAGTTATTGAAATCCCAGTCAATAAAAACCCCTTTATTTATCGGTAGAATAAACAGTTTTAAGACCTTTTAAGCCACCGTGTGTGCAAGTGGCGGACATTCTATGAAATATTGGGGGGGGGAGGCTCGTGCCATAGGCACGGAAAATTTTTAAATTTGAATCCCGGAAATGGCATTTGCATCATTCTGAGGCACGCATAATCAGAAAACCCAAAATTCCTGTCGGCATCCATTTTGCAGCCCTCGAAAAGTCAAAACCGTCAAAATGGAGGTCGGCAAAAGAGGGCAGACCTAAATCTGACCTAGGTCGGCACATCTTGGCATTTCTTAAAATCTGTTCCACGTCTTGGAGCACTATTAATCACGCATTTACGAATCATTGAAATCGGAATATAACTGGAACGTTACCTCCAGCCGGAAAATTCGAAAGTTGGAGCCAAATTTTAACTCCAGACGCGCGAAATTTGATCTTCAAACATCTAACGTATATACACAATACCCGTCAGTTTTTAAACCTTACACCGTAGTGTGTTCAGTTAATCGAAATAATAATAATAATAATAATATTGTTTATTTGGCTAAATGCAAAAATTTGCATTTAGCCCGGCATTGCCGATGCCGACCTCGTTTTCGAGGACTGATTTTGCCACGTCTTGCTGACGTAATAAGTGATATCGACAAAGGAAAAAGGTCGCTTCGTGCGAGAAAATTCGCTAGTGGAAAACCGACTTTATTGCCTCTTTTATAGAACAGTATAATAAGCAACAACAACAACAACAACAACAACAACAACAACAACAACAACAACAACAACAACAACAACAACAACAACAACAACAACAACAAAAACAACAACAATAACAACCACCACCACCAAACAAATTTAATTACCTAATTATGATTTCAATAATATTATGTTTTTGGACTAGCTGCCAGAAGTGAAGATATACTGTTTCGAAAAAATTTGCATTGCTGCATGTGTGGTTTCTTTGATGCATGCTATTCGTGATATTCGGTTTGAATTCAATTATTCAGGAGGTCAATTTTGGTTTCTTCAGTGGTTATCTTTAGCCAATCCAGTTTTGCCGACTGAGATAACAATTTGCCGATTAGCTGACGAGTGGGGGGGTGTTCCCCCCCCCCCCCCACACCCCCCTGTAGCGCCGCCCCTGAAAACAGCGAAACCGCTTTTTATTCGCTGCCAAGTTCAAGTGATTTTAATAGCTTTCAAGATGCCAATCTATTAATAATCCTCTGGCATTTTCTTGCACGATTAACAAACAATGCACGTTATTGTTGAAAGATTTCATATCTGCAAATTAGATTATGTTTACTTGTCAGTGTCAAAGTTTATCACCTTCCCTGAAATTCGTCCAGACAGTTTTCCACCGACGGTTGCACTATATACAGTAATACAGACGTTGCGCACGTGAATCAGACTGAAACTTTAAGAGTTATGTAAACGGTTACGGTGGATTTATTGAGCAATGTTGTGGGATATCGTTTGCGGAGCAAAAACTGCGTTTTTTCTTGCTTTCGTAATTGTCTGTAAGTACATCTTTCATACTTTTATTATCCGAATTTTGCAGTAAATAAAGCAGCCATAGCTTGCTTTTTACTTGAACACTGTTGTTCTACTTGCAGCCTAAACATACTATAACTCGCGCATTAGTAGTACTAATTTTGCAAAACACAACTTTATTTATGCTTTCATAAATTAATGGCCCTCTATACTCCTTTAAAGACTTAGATACTCGCGCACTTAGATGTCAATGTTTTTGTAATCTGCGACGCAGACTCGACAGTCGTCGCAAGTGAACGTTTTAGTTGTGGCTTTGAGTTTCAAGAGGGTGGTAACACGTGTGACGCAAAAACTGCGTTTCTTCTGGCTTTCGTAATTGTCTGTAAGTACATCTTTTATACTTTTATTATCAATTGCAGTAAATAAAGCAGCCATAGATTGCTTTTTACTCGAACACTGTTGTTCTACCTGCAGCCTAAACATACTATAACTCGCGCATTAATAGTACTATTTTAAAAGAACATTACCTCAAGATATATTTTGTTATTTTCCATTTGACAAGTGCAATCGGATTGCATAACGGTAGACTAAATGCATCCTGTGCTAATATGGGCGTCCTCTTTTCAGTATGAAACTGAAAGGCAGTAATTTTCTTGAATTAGAAATGATGTCATTTTTCTTTATGATAAATGTGTTCGATGTTTTGTTCTTCTCGTCAATCCATCGAACATGTTGACCATGTAAACCAATGCTGAATGTGTTATATGTGAAGTATAATTATGCAGTCATTTATATGATGGTTTTTACAGCGATTCCCATTTAAGGTACGTATTGAAAAGGGTCAAGTGCCATGGATCTTCAGACTGGTTGGCGTATACCCCGCAGATAAGGCCAAGCGTTTATTTTCTTGATAACTGCTTCAAATGATTGAAATGCAGACGAAATGTGATCAGATGCCAATAGTGTTTCCACATTCTACAGTATGCTTTTTTTCTTGGTTTGTCTACGAGACTAACGGCTCAGCCTCTTCGTATATCTCGGCCCACGTTAGGCATAGACTGTGTGCGTCTGCGCACATCGACCAGCACTCTTTCTTCAGAGACGTGTCTCTTTTTTGATGCGTCTACGTGTATTTCTTGGTGGCATTTTAAAAAAACACAACTTTTAATATTTATGTCTTCATAATGCGCGAATCAAATCGAAACCTTGACATCCCCCCCCGGGCATACCTGGGGAATTTGCTTGTTTAGTATTTTAAGAAGGCGGGAATTTGACCTTTTTTTCTAGTGGAAGGTGGGGAATTTGAAGGGGGTCGGGAATTTGAATTTTTCTTTTAAACACGTATGCAGAATCCAAAATGGCGTCAATAATTAATGGATGAGTTCAAGGTCTTCAAGTGCAAAGGAATTAACTTTGTCCTTGGTTGGCTACAAGAAAACGGCTTTGAACGATTGAAGAGAGTTTTTGAAGGAAAGAAAAACTTTGAAATTCCAAAATTGCGAAATGCTGTAGCTTCCAATTCGTACATGAGGTGGGGTATTTGAACTCCAATTTTTCCCAATACGTGGTGTATTTGCACGGGAATTACAAATATATGTAGGGAATTTGACCTGACCAAAACGTCAAAATCCAAATTCCCGGGGGTATGCCCGGGGGGGGGATGTCAAGGTTTCGATTTGATTCGCGCATAATGACCCTCTTCATAGTCGATTAATTAATACTTCCGTTGTGGTTTTCGCGCACTTAAATGTCGATGTTTTTGTAACCAGCGATGCAGACTCTAGCCTGTGTTCCAGTCGTCGCAAGTGAACGTTTTAGTTGTGTAGCATTGAGTTTTAATTAAGATGGCGGTAAAGGGGGTGGGTTATTGCTTTCATGAAGTATTGCTTTTCTACTCGGTTCTACCGGTTCTATTCCTGTGGCGCGGACACGGAAATTACCGGCAATCACGGCTTAGGAGTATGATAAGCAAAAATATTCGTCATCTCGCATTTCACGAAAACATATTGGCAATTCATGGCTCATGAAAACACCGCTCTTTTAAATTAGTTGTATATAGACAGTCTGTGCGCTTTATACGTCCCTCGAGATAATCGGGCATTGAAAAGTAACGGTCGTCCATACTCGCATTCTGTTTCTGTAGTACACTGCGACGTCCAGGGACGTCGTTATAGGGGGTGTGGGTGTGGGAGGTGGGGGTAACACCCCACCAATAATTCAAACGTTGGTCAAAGTTGGTCAAAATGGAACTGATATTTGCCCAAAGTTGGTCAAAATGGAACTGATATTTGCTTAAAATTGAAGGTAATAAAACTCGGGATAAAAGATGGTCGAAGTTGCTCAAAGATATGAAATGGTTCGCAATTTTAACAATTTTAAAGCTTTTGTTATGTTTGCGTTGAAAAAATTGGAAGCCTTGCTTATCTTGGTCGAAAAATTTTGATTTTGCTTATATTAGTCCGGAAATTTTTTTTGACTACGCTTATGTTAGTCCGGAAAATCTTTTTGACCCAACCCCCGCCCCCCCCCCCGCCCTGTCGACAACATTTTCGGGAAAAATTTTTACGACTTGGTCAAAATCCTAGGAAATGTTAGTCAAAACATGACGACCCCCCCCTCCCCCCCCAATGTTGATGGTTTCGCGACGTCCCTGGCGACGTCACTTATTGCTGTTATTTGGATTACCAATCAATTGAGAATTACAAAATCTTATCTAAATGTCAGAAATTACGGGAACTACTGAGTATTTTGATAAAATACAAAACAATAGATACTCCGAAAATTGAAAGCATTTTGAAAATTTATTTCGACGTTTCGACTGACTATAGTCATCACCAGGAAATGAATGATGATGATATTACATATGCTGCCTCGTCCCCAGTCGCTTTCAAAGGGGGGAGAGGAAAACGAGAAAAAATTCTTTTTTTTTTCAATATCCCATCATGCATTGCCCGTCAATGATATCACAGCCACTGATCTATATAGATCGCAATTGCACCGCACTGTGCCCAACGAAGGGCCAGCGGAGGAAGCAATTACATATGTACAAGTATATATAGTGAAGTAACGAGATACGATTAGTTAAATATTAATCATTTCCTGATGATGACTATAGTTTAGTCGAAACGTCGAAGCCGTAAATTTTCAAAATGCTTTCAATTTTCGGAGTATCTATTGTTTTGTATTTTATCTAAATGTATTTGTTTTATATTATAATAAACGAAAACTCCGAATTAACCGAATTAAACAGGTAAATTCAGGGCCGTAGCAACCGGGAAACTGGGGGGCTTCATCCTCCCAATAATTTGTGTACTAGCGATAATCTGTGAACTTTGAGAGAGAAATAATGACCTAATAATCGCCCCTGACTAATCAGCCCCCCCCAATACAAAATTGCTTCCTACGGTAGTGAAATATATTTTATCCACCCAAACATTTGGAAATTTGAAAAAGTTGACATTTTACAAATATCACGCCTACATGACTATTAGCTACCTAAGTTACGTCACGTGTGACCTCTAATAGAAGATCATGGCTCTCGACCCATGAAAGCGCTTCAATTCTTAACGTTACTATATATAATTCTTAATACCGCAGTCTGCACACTTTCAATATTCAATACTGCGAAGTGTGCATTATTGCACATTCCAAAATAGGTCTTGTTTCTCGGGCAAATTGTATACGGTATTATCCATTGTGCATTGTGGTGATAGCACCTGAAAATCAGCACTTGCTGCCGATTGTTCAAAAGCCAGTGATCTTAATAATCCTAGTTTGACCAGAAACTTCCGAAAGGGGGAGAGGTGAATAGGGGTATACAAATCCGCCGATCCGCCCAAATTTGAAGCAAAATCCGCGATCCGACAATGGTCTTGTCTAAATTTGAAACCGCTAAAAGCTCTACTATGAAATCACAATCCAGGATCCGAACTAAATTGAATTGCAAGCTAAATTCGAGCCAAAATATTAGATAAATCCGCAATCCGCTGTATTAATAAGATCCGCAAATCCGTGTAATATATTCGCCAGATCCGAAATCCGAACAATTTTTTCTGTAAAATCCGACGATCCGAAAACCTATCCCCCCCCCCCCCCCCCCCCCCCCCCC